GTTCACGGCGTTCTCATCACATCACAATGTGCTATCGATCCTGCCGTTCATCCTCTTGGTCGAAACTCTTACCACCGGAAAAATGATTCCGCCAGTAACAAGCCGGCTCCGGTACCTAACCGACATCATATTCTTTGGCATAGCGGTTTATGCAGCTATATACGGTGTTTCGCACGCTTATATGTTGCATTATTTAATAAATCTAGTCGCAGCATGGCTTGTAGCAATCCATTCGACATCCGACTCCTGGACTCTCGCTGGAATATCCTCCATATTCGAAGGCGAACCGGCCGAGAACCGCAAACAGGGTAAAACTCCTTGATATGATGTCAAGAGTCAGATTTACCCGCTTAGTGGTTCTAGATAGATCCTGCGGATCATGTCGGAAGATCTAAATATTAGCCAATCTTGAATTTATTTTTACAAAATCATATCGCATTAGATATGAATACGGGTCGGTACTGGACCTCCAGCCTTGTAGAGACCTAGGTTCTTTGTATATACATCCTAGACCGAGTTGATCAATAGTGTCGAGAAAGCCGAACGTCTACCTACATGTACTACTAGACCGTTCTCGACACTTTCTTATAGGTAGAGCACTCCGCACCGAACGATCTACATCTTAGCACGGAAATTTTTATCTATTTTCTACGAAGGCTTCTCGTCTGTTTCTACGGCTTCGCATTAGCATCAGGGCTGGAGTTTGGGTTTTAGTGGCGGTCTGGCTAGTCGCAAGTAATGGTGACTCTGGTTTTGTCTTCGAGCCTTGTCGCATAAAGCTTACTTGCATAATGCTCGACTACAAATTATTGTCTCATGGGTTGGTGACAACGGCTGCGGCCGGAATTCTTGTACAAAAACACCGGTTCCCAACTTTCAGACGTGCGGGAAACTCAACTTAGGGACACGGATTTCTTTCTTCTTCTTTTTCTATTTTCCTCTGCTCCCCTTTCCTTGGGAGGCAATTTTATAAGAGACGGTCGGTCGGTCGGTCGGAGGTTCCTCGTATTATAGTCAAGAGTTGGGTTATAGATATGGGTTTGGGAACCGATCGACAGACTTACCCGCGTCCGACGGATGCAACAAACCTACCTAATCATAATCTGTTGGGAGGGAGGGACGCGCCGAGAGGTCGCTTAAGGGCTATCCGGAGGACCTTGGACAGTTGGGAGAGACGGAAGGAAGTAATACGGATTTCGTCCCCCTCCCCCTCCAAAGAAAGGGGAATGTGGCGCGCTTTGGCTGGCTGGATAGGCAGATGGCGTTTCGGCCTTACGTAGTTGGGACAGCCTAGATCGCAATAAACTTATGTTCAAGTATTCTACGTTTTATTAATACCCAAACCCAGTATGACTTACATTCCAGAGCCCAGCTCTTCACATGTAATCTTCGCAACCCAGGGTTTGAAACACACCACGACTCTAAAGTGTGAGTGTACTGGTGTCAGATAAGTCTTAGCTCATACACTACACGAACACTATTGAAATTCTACCGTAAGAAAAAGTCTATTGCCGTCTGAGTCTATCTACCTATGCCCCAGTAGGAGCCCCGAGTCTTTACCAATCCCGGTCTATCTGGAAACAAAACCATAACGCCCGCGCCCCCAGGGCGCCTTACTTTATCCCCTAGTTCCCCCCGTCATGAATATCCTGTGGAAACCAACCCAACAACACGCTTCAATATGAACACCGAAATATTGCACAACATGCACGAAACATGGCAGACAGATAAGATCTGCGTGTTGAATCTCACTCCCTAGCGCGAGCTTTACCAGCAGATTCTGCGAGCCGCGTCTTGTGCTGATGCCAGATGACCCAAAGCGTAACCACGAAGCCGAGACCGCAGGCGGCGAGCGTGACGAGATATGCAGCCCAGTAACACTCAAGGCCGTCAACGCAGGAACTCGCGCCATCCTTATCAATGATAGAATGGGCGTCGAAGACAGAACCATAAAATAAATTGAAAATGTTGCTCGAGATGACGGGGGACAGAGTCATGAAGCCCCAGTTCTGGCTCAGGCCGTGGATGCCGAAGGACTCGGCGACGATGGACGGGAACACGCCGAACAGGAACCCGTAACCTAGCCCGCTGAACCCGGACACAAAGCCGAGCAAGTGAGGGTTCGTCACGTTGAGCGCGCAGATCTGCGCCAGCGAGAAGATGCCCGATGCGACTACTAAGCACCATACTCGACTAGCGTGGAGTACCTTGACGAGAAAGTCGGATCCGACGCCGCTTAGCAGTCGCCCCGAGAAGCTGCCGATGGAGAGGATGGAAACGTGCAGCTGCTGACGTAGGACAAGCGTCTTGTCGTCGATCGAGTCGTCGTAATGCCTCCAGAGCGCTGTGACGTCGTTTCCGATATTGCTAGTGCAGAGTTAGAGCCGCATCTTTTGGGTACAATAGCGCGGGTGTAATACACGCGGGCGAGGCAATACTCACTTGATAGTCATAAGGCCGATACCCGAGAGTATGCCCATGATGGTAAACAGCTGCCAAAACTCGATGTTCTTCAAGAGGTTGAGACCTCGGATATCTACACGGTGAGAACGACCCATATCAACACTGCTCTGCACTAACACTTCACCCGGCAAGGAGGAGGACGAGGTAGACTGGGATAGAAGCGAAGACGTTTCATCGGAACCATCGCGGGTACCTGACGGTGCTTCCTCGGTGTCGACAGCTCGGCTGTCTTCCTTGGGGCTTGGGGGGTCTCGGTCCTCTTGTTCTGAGGCATCTTGGGTCATTTTGGAGTTGTTGGAGGTGTCAGAGGTGGTGTTGAACATACCAGGTTCAGATGGATCCCCACGAGCAACACGTGTCTTAGACTCGTCCGACGTTGTACGGTGTAACTGTCGGGAATCTGTCATGCCTGGTTCCGTATCGGGTACGGCATGGTACGGCGAGTGAGGCGGAAGCACGCGCAGAAAGAAAAACCCAACGAAAGTCAAGCCGAAGGTGCCATAAGCTAACAACATTAGGAACTTGCTCGGACTACCGGGGAAGAAGATGGTGCCGATGAGGGCGAAGAAGAAGGCGCTTAGACCGAAGGCGGCAAGAGGAAAGGCGGTAGCGGTGCCACGATGGTGCGGCCAGTTCAAAGCTGAGGTCTTCACGGCGGCGGCGAAAGCCATGCAGCCGCCGAGGCCGGTCAGATACGACACAAAGCACATCCACGGAACGGATCCTTGACCGGCATCATATGCCTGGTGGAGCGGGAAATAACCGAGACCTAGTAGGAAAGCGCCTACGATGACAGCGGGGCGAGGACCCTTGCTGTCGACGAACATGCCTACGGGAACACCCATCGAATACATGCCGAGATTCCCCGCCAGCCCGATCAGGTTGCTTTCGGTAGCAGACAAGAGTAACTTGTCGGCAAATTGGGGTGCCCAAGCCGAATAGACATACTACCGTTCGTTGTCAGAGACGTCGAAGAGATGCTATCGTAGTGGTGGTGATGGATGATGGATGATGGATGATGTGTCTTACATTAGTTCCGCAGGCCAGCGAGATGACGGTCGCGGCGACGCTCGACACAATGCGAGCATTGTAGACTTGGCCCGATACAGTCATATTGAAAATCACACGAGTTAGGTACTAAGTTAGTTACGATGATATCATGTCTTACTTCGCCAGTGACCTTCACAAAAGGGGAAAAGGAGGCTACGATGAACAATTACGAAGGAATATAAAAAAAGGATAGATAATAATAAAAAATAAGATCGGAGGCTGCGTGCAATACAGCACAACAAGTCGTGTAATGCCGGAGAAAATCAGAGATGCGTGTTTCTAAAAGGCTAGATTTGCCATGCCGGAACGTAACGATAGGGAACGAATGAAGTGTACAAAAGTAATCGGGCGTAGTTGTCGCGAAGATGAATGAGATTGATAGGACGACGTCGAAGGAGTGGAGGGTTTAGGACGTGTCGCAGTCGCAGTCGCAACGCAATCGCAATCGCAATCATTACCTAACGGGGGATTGCGCTTTATCGGCTTATCTCGCTTCAAACCCCTTACTGTTTCGGGCTACGAGGCGGATCGACTATCCTTATGGGGCGTTAGTGTACCGGCATCAGGCAAGAGCTTGGGATGAGTGATGTACGAAGTACGAAGTACACGCCTCCGTAATCATATCCGCGCCGGAGGGTCCATCTTTATCTAATCCACATCTTAAGTACATATTGTATGTACCCAATAATCTGTTCGCATGAATACCTTAGGTACTATCGGTGAAAACATTCCCATTACCATAGGTTGGTATTCGTTGGATATATTGGCCATGGACGTCCCTGCTTAGCTTGGTGCTATACCCAATTCATAGTCACCGCTTGAATATAGCTGATCCATTTTCAGTCTTGGCCAGTTTAGTAAATCGGGTTAAAGTGGGGGTCAATATTCTAGAAGCCGTCGCTACGAAAGTTGAAGGTTATGAATTAAAGGGGCTTTCTCTTGGGCTCTTGGCTGTCTTTAGCATTTTTTGAAAGTGGGGGGGGGGGGGGAGCAACCTGGGAAACATTTTGAAGGATTCAAGATGGTACCAAGTCGGGTATAGCGCAGGTTTGATCTAGTATAGCAATACGCCGGTCATAGAGTACGACGGGCCAATTACTATTGCTTGTTGAACACGATCGTACGGTACCCCCTACACTTGTAAGCCATCGGTAGTCGTTGGCCGGGGGGGTTTTATTCTGGGGTAAGCTACCTACATACATAATACATATAGGATTCATCGCATTTAGACGTCATCGCGTGAGCAAGTTGGAGATGTTGGAGTCGTTGGGAAAGTCTTGTTCAACAGACGAAGAAAAGAAAGAAAAAGGTAGTAAATAATGTATTGTTCGGTAACGCCTTGAAAATATTATAGGAGAATTAAATAAGTACTTCATAGGTAATTATATAAATAATACACTACATACATATGTATAAAGGGGTATCCATTAGTGAACATGTTACCTTGAAACTACCTAAGGTTAGTTAGTTAATATATTCCGTATTCAGTTGTATCTTCCGAGGTTACGAAAACCCGGACAAGGCTTTGATTTATAAACCCCTTTTGACTCCAACCTCCAATTGACTATGTACACCGTCATGTGGCCCTTTATGACCTTCGACCCCAAGTCCCCTAATTTTAATTCGTGATCGCCAGTGGAGAAAACATGTACTGCAGTTCTTGTGCCACTTCAGGAAATAACAATATCCTGACCTACGGCTTTGGTGCGTCATGTAATCGATGTGACCCCCGCCTCGTAACGAGACACAACATGTTCAGCATACCGAGCCACCCGCGCTTGGTCTGATGCTCTCCCCTTTATAACTTGACCGGATCATGGCCTAAAAGTTAAAATTCATGTTCCCTTGCCTTCTCACCTACATATCCTCTCCTACCCCGTCCTATCACTTATACAAACCCATAGCCGTCGTCGCCATGGCTACGTTCGCGAGTCTTCCCGCTGAGTTACGTCTAGAGATCTGGGATCTCGCGTTACATCAGGAAGCACGCGATCGCTTACTTATAATTGGCCAGACCAAGAATGCCCCCATCACTAATGAGTCGCCGCTCTGTCTCTTACCCCTCAAGCACCACGCAAGTCCGCTGCTCTCGGTCAATTCCGAGAGTCGCTATCAAGCCAAGGCCTTCTACACAGCTAAGCTTGACGTCTACGAAGTCCCTCGCCTCTCCAAAGAAGACGTCGGTCGTAACAGCAAATGCTCATACCAAGTGCAATACATCAACAAAGCCATCGAGACCGCTAGCGTAGTGAAGGGCTCTATCTATCTTAGCCCGCGATATGACTTCTTCGTCTCGATTCGAGGCATTGACACCTTCCCGTATCTCCAGGAAGAAAAGAAGGAAGACTTGCTCGACAAGCAACAAGAGAATCAAGAACCCCCCCGCCACTATATCACGGCGAAGATACCACCGGAGATCGCCATGAAAGTCCGTAACGTCGTCTGTATACAGAAGAACCTAGACAGAGACGACGACTTCTACGACTGGTGGTGGACAGACACGTACATGGAGAATCTCCTATACAACCGGGAGGAACTCGTGCGATATCTCTGCGTCCCACCATTCCGTCCCCGTTTATATGGTCCCGTTTACGTCAAATACCTCTGGAGAGCATCCGATTTCAAGCAGATACAGAACTACCTGCATCTATGGCTACCGCAAGAAGAATTAGAAGGCTTCATTTCCAGCGTGATCAAAAACCGTGGTCGCGGCTCTTACGACTTCCGGGAATGGTCACTGCATCCGGCTAATCGTATACCCAAGTTGGTATTACTCGATCTAAACGAGGAGCCACAGAAGCAAGACGAAGATTGTGCGCCAGTTAAGGCACAAGTCAAGACCTTATGATAAAAAGGAACTGAGATTACTTAGTACGAGTTATTTTTTTCTGGATTTGGCGTTTTGGGATTCGGTTTAGCATTCGGGGGATTTGGGTCCTATACCTACTGCTTAATACCTCGAGAATCTTTCGCGGCGAAACATTTTTGTAATTAAGGGTATGCCTCATGAGACTTTGGGAGTTGCGGTAAATAGGTGGTACTGAGGAAAATGGGTATGATGATCCACACGTAGCAATACATTCGCTTTTGCATTTCTCAACAATACGCAATGCGCATAACCTACCTAAGGTAGCAATCGGTCCGTCAATCGTCAATCATCTCCACCAGTTTAGTTTCTCCAGCTGCCGCATCAAGTATTTCACCTCGCAGGAAAAGCAACTTCATCACAAACAGAACTCAGCAAAACAATACGTAAAAGCCATGTGATGGAACATATAAACAGTGCTAATACATTCGATATATATTATATAAAGTATAAGGCGGCTAGTTAGTAAAATCAAGCAGCGTAGTTGTCATCATGGCCCTAAGACGAATACGTAACTTCGGCTTCCCCAGTTCCGCACGCGGTGATTTGATCTCCGGCAACCCGTTTCGTTAACCAGAGCGACGAATAATAACCGCTAAACATAAGCATCAATGAGGCCATTATTTTTAGAAGTGAATAGTTTATAATCCCACCGGTTAAGATCGCGAATTCGTGAACTGCCTTCCAACCATGCGCCGTGGTGAACGCTCTAGTCCAGACAGTAGTGTTGCATCGTATATAATATATAGTTCTTGGTGCTGGAGCCTCTGCGATAAATAAGGATGGGTGCTCCTGGTGTATTTCAATATCGGTTTCTTACCGTTATCAGTCGTTTGCTCACTGACTGTAGCTCGTAGAGATATTGGACTTGTGGAATCCCAATCCCAATTCTCATTCACCATGCCTGTGTCTACCGCCTCTCTCGTCACCTTGCTCGGTGCCTTCGTCACCACAACTCTCGGGCACGGATACGTCACCGGCTATGTAGCGGACGGTGTGCAGAAACCTGGCTTCTTGCTAGATTACTACTATGACAAGAAGAACGGAGGGACCGTGCCTCCGCTAGCCGCTTGGTACGCCGAAAACCTTGACAGCGGTTTCGTCGCCCCCGACGCTTACCAGACCGCCGACATCAACTGCCACAAGAACTCCGCCCCGGGCTCGCTGACGACGACGGTGAAAGCCGGCGGCACCGTAGTGTTCCAATGGGGCACCGCGGCAGGAGGAGCCTGGCCGCACCCTTACGGCCCCATCATCGACTACATCGCTCCCTGCGACGGCGACTGCAGCAAGGCGGACAAGACGAAGCTCAAGTGGATCAAGATCCAGGCCAGCGGCATCAACACCGCCACGCAGGAGTGGGCGAGCGCGAAGCTGATCGCGAACAACAACACGTGGACGACGACGATCCCCAAGTCTATCGCGCCCGGCAACTACGTCCTGCGACACGAGATCATCGCTCTTCACGGCGGAGCGTCGCTAAACGGCGCCCAGTCCTACCCTCAGTGCTTCAACATCCAGATCACGGGTTCGGGCACGGCGAAGCCCAGTGGAACCCTCGGCACTGCGCTCTACAAGAACACTGACCCGGGTATCCACTTCAACCCGTACGTCACTGTCACGGATTACCCGATGCCCGGTCCGGCGCTATTCACTGGTTAGAGAAGGATTCTTGAAGGATTCGGAGCGGGCCATTGTGCGGCGAAATGTGGGTAAGGTCAGGGAAGAAAGTCGGAGTCTGTTGTTTGGATGTTGGATAGTTAAGCTTGAGAAATAATATAAATTAACTAGCTATTTAAGCTATCTTCGTAACAGATACCTAAGCTTATATTATTTTTGGCAATTCGATGTTGTTCAAGTGAAATTGTAAGCTTAATGATGGCTTACTTGGGAAATACATAAATACATAAATGTAATTACAAGCTTCCTCACATCAGTTCTAGAATAATCTCTATTTAAAGATATTACTGTATACCCACTTTACTGTATCCGCGCGCGTCGCATGACCCTACGTAATGTAATGTAATGCCAAGTACAGTGTAAATGGTCCGTGCGTAACTTCCACCCATCACAGCCGCACGGCGTCACGCCAACTTCGACAGCAACGCCTCATCCTATCATAAACCCTCTATAATTCTTCCCTTCAACAACAATAAAAAAACCCCTACTCCGAATACAACAAGAACAAAAAGAGACACCGACTCGATATTGAAACCTTTCATCCAGGATGGGAGCGCTCCTATCTCTTCCCTTCCTGGCGCTGCCCGGCGCTGGCACGGTACGTTCAATAACCTGATTCCTTTAGTCGAACATGTCGAAGAAGACTAACGATAATCTAGCTGATATCCTTCGCTGCTAGCTGCTGCGGCGCCGCTACCTGTTCCATGGTATGCAGCGCCTGCGGGAAGTGCGGCAACAGGTAAGATAGCCAGACTCTATTCTCCTATACCGTATCGCAATGCGCAGACTAACTAACATTGAACTTCAAGTGTTGCTACCCGTCTCGCCTACGCCCTGCTTCTCCTCTTTAACTCGATTCTCTCGTGGATCATGCTCACACCTTGGGCCATCGAAAAACTGCAGCATTTGATGTTAGACTATGTTAAGATCAACTGTCCAAACGGCAAGTGTTCTGGCTGGCTAGCCGTTCACCGAATCAACTTCGCCCTCGGGCTCTTCCACCTTATCTTCGCAGGCCTGCTATTCGGTGTCGCCTCTACGAAAAACCCTCGAGCCTCCCTCCAGAACGGCTACTGGGGCCCTAAAATTATCGCTTGGCTCGCCTTTATCGTTATATCGTTCCTTATTCCCGATGCCTTCTTCCAGGTCTACGGCAACTACATCGCCTTCATCGGCGCTATGCTTTTCCTCGTCCTCGGTCTTATTCTCCTCGTCGATCTTGCGCATAACTGGGCCGAGTACTGCCTTGAACAGATTGAAAAGACTGACTCGAAAGTCTGGAGAGGCGTGCTAATTGGTTCAACCCTCAGCATGTATATCGGTTCGCTAGCCATGACCATCATACAATACATCTTCTTCGCTCATAGCGGCTGCTCCATGAATCAAGCCGCGATTACCATCAACCTCCTATTATGGATTGCTATTTCGGTTATCTCGGTACACCCAATCGTCCAGGAGTACAACCCTAAGGCTGGATTGGCGCAGGCCGCCATGGTCGGAGTTTACTGCACATATCTCACCATGTCCGCCGTCTCGATGGAACCCGACGACAAGAAGTGCAACCCCCTGGTTCGTGCGCAGGGCACCCGAACGACCTCCGTGGTGATCGGCGCCATCGTAACGATGCTAACAGTTGCGTACACTACCACGCGCGCAGCAACCCAGAGTCTGGGCCTAGGTAACAATAGGGGCGGTATCAAGCTTGCAGACGAGGATGAGCACGATCTCGTGACCCAACAGCCGGGACGCGAGGAGATGCGAGCAGTTCTACGCCGAGCAGTCGAAGAAGGTAGTTTACCCGCCGACGCCCTGCTATCCGACGATGAGGATGAAGAAAGCGGCAAGACGTCGCATGATGATGAGCGGGGCAGAACTCAGTACAATTACTCGGTGTTCCACATCATCTTCTTCCTGGCGACGTGTTGGGTAGGCACGTTGCTCACGGGCACGGTGGAGGGACTGGATGACCTTCCTCAAGACAGCGACTTCGCGACCGTCGGGAGGACATACTGGGCTAGCTGGGTCAAGATCGTCAGCGCTTGGATCTGCTACGGCATGTACATCTGGACCCTGGTGGCGCCTATCGTCCTACCAGAGCGGTTCGACTTTTCTTAGAGTAAACTGTGGGAGTCTTTTGTATAATTTAGTTAACTTATTTTACTATGTTAGAATGTTGAAGCATTGCTTGTTAGAGTGTATTTGAAACAAAACAAGCGTTCTATGGTAGTACCTCTATTTAAACCATTACTCAGTCATGCAAGTTCTTGATTGTTCTGTCTCATTACCTCTTATGTGTTGCTGGGCGGTTGTTCGTGTAGTTTAAGGAGTAGTTACATGCTGCTTTGCTGTGATATCACGAGATGAAGTATTTACTCTCAAGGGCTTACAGGCATAGTTTAGCCTGCAGATCTACCAGTTCATTGCGATTGCGTGTACGAGGGGAGAGAAAGTGAAGGCCGTGATATCTCGTTACGTTTTTGTCTAGTGTTAATCCATGACAAATGTTCCCAGATGAACCAGAAGATCACTTCATAGTAAGCAATAGCTGATAGGCTATATACATTTTGGAAAGTGGTCTCAAAGGGATAAGATCTAGAGCTTCCTATTGAACAATATTTTTGTACCGAATCATCAGTGAAGATGGAAAAGGTGTATGCGGATATAGCAGTTAATATTATTATAGGCAGCATAGAGGTTATTTACATATCAGTTTATTCCAGTGTTTATTTATCGTGGTCTTAATTATATCTAACGAGGTATAAATACAATAGGTTCAAATGGCTGTCTGGTACCATAGGAAGAACCTAAAGGATTAAAGGGGTACCTTAGAAACTAGATACATATGTGTCTTGAGGAAAGCAAGGTATATATACCTAGATAACGCACACCTATTAACCTACATTAGAAAAGGGACTTGTCCCCAAATGAAAAGAGGCCAGCGAAAAGCTCATAATTTGGATTGCCGTTCTAATTGCTTTACTAACTTACATTTCCTCCCCTTTTCTTCCGGCTTCTATTTGTACTACCTCTAAGCTATAACCACCCAGTCGTCTAAGGCCTCTCACCCGATGACAAGTCCCAGGTAACGTACATACGTACAAAACGTCTAGTTAATTATATTGCTCGAGGAGAGCCGAAACAGCGGCTGAGTAATTACTTGCGTTGGTGAGGCTCGGTCCTATCCACTTGGATGAGTTTATATAGCATCACATGTCTATGACTAAAAAAAAAAGGAGGCGGTGTAAACAAGGTAGTTGATTGTAAATCACATTTCACACATGACATCCGCGCGCAGTTTCACGGTGGTACAATATAGATACAGTTCGTTAGGTAGGTATTGGTAGTAAGCAGGCGGCTATGTGGTGGGACGTCATAACCGAGGTGAATAATATATTCTCAATGCTTGTTATACTTGAGCCTCCAGCTCAGGATTGGTACACCGTACTGGACTAATACTGGCTATCTCACATCAAGTACCTGGAATACCTACTAAGGATATATTCAATATTTTATTAGTATAGGGGTAAACAACCACCTCGTTCCTAGTCTACCTTCGGATTTGATCGTTACGCGTAAGGATGGATATAGGTAGGCATGTAGTATCAACAGGAGCTGAATATTAAAAATACCATTAGGCTATCAAGACTTATCTTAGAGTTTATCATGGTTACCCACATGGCAAGTGATAATATGTACGGTGCCGATATCTAAGGTGGCGCCAGAGCCTCATCAGCCCACCAGAGACACATGTCAGAACTCTCCTGCCAAAACATGGTTCGTGATGACCGACCATCTTCTCACGTGAATTTTCAACTGATCAAGGAACCTGTGTAAGAGAGCGCCTTAGCCCGATGTGTTGTCCCAGTTGAACAGCAGCATTGCCGTGACCACCCACGGCAAGCAGCTTCATATAAATTAAGCAGGTAGCGTACAGGGCCAGCCAGCCAGCCAGCCAGCCAGCGCGAGAAATATGACCTATCATACTGCGGAAAATAATGACGTGATAAGCTCCTTATCTTAGGCACGTAAGAAAGGCGCCTTGTCGTCCAGCAGGCCGGCTCATTGGACTTTGGAATGAGGCTGATCGGCTGGGCCATCTTTCTTAGAGCTGTGAGAGATGATTGCAGACGAAGGGGAATTTCCTACCTACGAAGCTATAATGTCGCTCAGGGGCAGCGGCATAAAATCACCCCATATACACGCTGCATGTGGGAATGTAGGTATGTATGTCTTAGCTATACGCCGACCTACATACAAGGCTCGATATCCCGACTTGTTTGCTCAATGCACATACATACATACATACCTACAGATAGCGAAAGGCTTCCACTGATATCGAGCAGCGGCGTTGAACCACATCGCATTTGCCTCTCCCCATTCTACGACGCCAAGATAGCAAACACGTTTTATTAGTGTTGTACCGCTTCCTCTCCTGTCTCTGATCCTGTAAACGGTCGACCGAGTAAACGCCTGCTGCTGCTGCTGCTGCTGCTGCTGCTGCTGCTGCTGCTGAGAGACCGTAAGAGTAAGAAAGGGTCTCACAAAATAGGGGGGGGGGAAAAAAAAAAGAGAGAAATGTTCCCCCAAGTCGGCGAATCAGACAAACACAGACATGTCTCCTTGTTTGTAAACAAGCCAAAAGCGCTCGGATACTGCGGCTCGAGCGAAAGAAATCCATATTCAGTCAGTCAGTCAGTTCGTTCGTTCGCATTGCCCGAGGTGTCGCCCGTCAAAGGCGGTGAAGAGCTGCAATTTGCAAATTGCAGCTCTGACGATACGTAGACGTAATGGTATCGACGGGTACGCGCATGTCCATTGCAGGCGCCAGTTCACCTGACCGCCCCCCCTCCTCCTCCTCCCCCCGTGCCTCGCCCTCGAAATACCTAGGTAGCTTAACAACTCGCTCTAGGCTGATAGATCGGCGGCCAGTGGCGCCTGTCTATCTGATCTCCTGTGCTTAGGTACCTAGATTGGGACGACCGTGGTGTGTATGTGTGGGTATGTGGAGGACGCCTCTTCTCTTCTGGGCCGAAAAAGCAACTACATCTTTATTTCCACATCAAATTTTTTTTTTTTTTGCAATTCACCGGTCGAAAACTAACAAATTACCTACCTACCTAATCTAACGAACAGCATACGATCGTGAATAGAGAGAGCTCTTGGCAACAAAGTGGGATCTTCCACACGAGCCGAGTTTTCGCTAAGCCATACCTAATTCCAACAAGCAGCACGCCTTTAGTACATCTGCGCGTGTTCTGTGTCATTGGACGATGCAAGCCACAGTAGCACATCCAGATCGATAATGGAGAGCGATCGTTGCACGAGCCGGGGGGGTATTGTTATTTCGGCTTTTTCGAATTTCGAAGCGTTGCTGCTATGTAGATTTGACTCATACTCGGCATATGTACGCCAGTCTGTGTGATATATCCAAGTATGGTGATATGACGGACGACATCTTTGCAGTCATATTCTTACCAGGTGCTTGTTATCCGCTTTATCTTGGAAGGCCAATGGAAACTCGCTCTCAGCTCTACAGGTCGGCGTAGAGGATGTGATGAGCCCACAGGATAGAGCTACGTAAGAAAGGTTTGTTCCTGTCTAGACATCGAACCACTACGAGGACATGCTTATTGCCAATCCTCATATCTATATAAGAGTCAGGTCCAGTCATGCCTAAGATAATCAAACTCGCAGGCTCACTCAGTCAGTTTTGATATTCTAATTAAATTCTTTTTTCATAATAATATCAGTTTGAACTCTGGACTTGTCGTCTCAGAGTCATCAGCCATCGCTAAGCCTCATATCTATCCCATAGCTCAACTCCCCTTTAACGAAAACAATGCCACATAGTACTCATGAGGCCGAGAAGATGCCCGACTGGTTCGTTAAGAGCATCGCTGAGAATAATATTTTAATTCTAAGTAACGTATATAGCGGCAATGGCACCAAGACTGACAGCAGTTCCGCGCAAGGAACATCCCAGCACGGGAGAGGTTCTTCTCAGACGACCATGTTAGAAATCTGGGCAAACGAGACCGAACGCGAGAAACTCCCCTTCAGTGAGGTGACCCAGCAACCGGCTGTCCAGTATGTGTCGCCCCTCGTTGACTTAACGCCGTCCATATACTAAGTATAGGTCTAGGCCACCTGCGAGGCATTGACTTTGCTAGAGTCGGCATCAATGTGTACATGTAACTCAAGGAGACCAAGCCCTCGCACAGGGGGCCAGGGGTTGGGTGCGTGTTACAGTCCCTTGTGTACAATGGTTAGTAAGAGCAATGGATTAGCAATGGAATATCGCTTTTTTTTAATTGTGAGAATATGATTTTGCTGCAGTGTCACATCGCGATATGCCGCGATTGGCTCCAAAACACGGAACTTCTGCAGGATCTCAAGATAATGTAGGCTCAGACGACGTATCGTTGCTCGAATTTGTGCTTCCGACCTGTGCTGTAGCTCCTACCGCATGAAAACCGTCAAGTGTAATCGTCACTGCACCTGCTTGTACGAGCTGATTGACATTAGTATGACGATGGTATGAAAGCTGACCTATGTTGTGACACTTACTGCACGAGATAGGTCGTCGACCAGGTCATGGACATCCTCAATACCAACACAGAGTCGAATGATGTCCTCGGGCATCTGCCGCTCCTTTCTTGTCTTTGCGTCGATGCTAGCATGGCTCATACGGCACGGCATGCTGATCAAACTGTTGACACACCCGAAGCTCACGCTGATTCCGTACAGCTTCGCAGCTTCAACAATCCTCTCAGATAAGGCGACGTCACCGGTCTCGAACGATAGGACTGCCCCGGCACCCCGCGCCATGGACCAATGAAGATCGTACTGTGGGTGAGATTTCAACCCAGGGTAACGTACGCGGAAACCGTGAGACTCGAGAAATTCAGCAAGTACTTGAGCGCTCGCTTGCTGCTTCTCCATACGAATTGCTAGCGTCTTGACTCCCCTCATGAGAAGGAATGAATCGTTCGGAGAGAGACCGCAACCGGTAGCGTTAATAGTGAAATACATCTTATCACCAAGAGAAGTGTCATTGCATGCGATGACGCCTGCCATAATATCATGATGGCCTGATAGGTATTTAGTACCTGACTCGTATACTATATCTGCTCCGAGTTCGAGAGGATTGCATAGCATAGGCGATAGCATGGTATTGTCAACGATGACGAGCGCCTTTGAATTAACGTCGTGGACAGCTTTCGCGATTGACGGGATATCGACAATCTTGATTAAGGGGTTGGTCGGGGTCTCTAAGAGCACCATGGAAGTCTTGTCCGAGACAACCTCGCGTACTCTTTCGACTTCTGTGGTATCCACATGGTGGACAACGATGCCTTGATTCGACGATAAATATGTAAGTAGCCGGTTGGTACCCCCATACAGATCATCACCAGTGATCACTTCATCTCCAGGACGCAACAGCCTAGTAATAACGTCTAAAGCGCCCATGCCGGAACCAACAGCAAGGGCTCGGTTAGCATTCATAATCTTAGCCATGTGGCGCTCTAGATGCGTTCGGGTTGGGTTGCCCGATCGTGTGTAGTCATATTCATCGCCACCCTTGGACGAGGTCTGCTTAAATGTAGCGGATTGGTAGACTGGGATGCTTGAGGCACCGTATTGGTCTTTGGTTTCGGTATAGACAAGTTCAGTAGCAAGAGCATAGCGTCGACGGCCGTTGGAGGGACTCGAGGGAGCAGGCGAGGGGGGTAGGGTGTGGCCGTCGATATCGACCTTGGAAACGGCCTTGTTTAGAGGTTTAGAGTCGTCCATGGTTGGGTGACGTGGTTGACGAGATGAAAACGGGACCTCCCGACGGCCGAAGGGAATCTAAAAACTTAAAACTTAGACCCGGACCTTTTTCTATGTATCAATAACACCGGTAGAACCCAATTGACTTGCTGATGGCCGTTAAACTATCGTACTCTTTGAATAAAAAGGAACCGTGTAAGTATATTAGAGAGAGAATTGGGGCGACTTCGAGGTAAGAACATGAAAAGATTCAATTTAGGTTATGCTGACGGAGGTAAATCATGTTAAGAAATTCCGTGATTGCTGGTCCGAGGTCGTCAGGTTGTACAGCTTGACTCAAAAGAGAGCGGTGTGGGGTCTAAGGTCCCTTGCAGCATCCGGTTATCGGGTTGAAGAGGTAAAATCTGGGGAAGACGCGGGTATCGCTATAGATGACGTGATTTGGGCGGTAGACAAAAGTATCCGATCGGTACATCGATAAGATGGCCTGTGCGCCAAGACCACGTTGTTTGACCCGTAGGGCTGACATACAACGCTACCCTATTTATTCTATTCCTGCCTAGGTACCTATTCTACTATTCTAGGGAGTTTAGGCCTTTAAGCTATGACAACGAGAGTATTAGACTATCCGTCGAGTTAGGTAATGAATAATGGTAAATTAATCACAGACAACTAAGTCGATATATTGTGACATACTACAATACTACAACTACATAGCTGAGGTATTGCTTTGGAATAGATGACTCGCAGGCCAGGTTCACTAATAACCATGTTATGATCATACATGCCAATAGTTCTAACGAGATAGGTAAACCTCAGCAGCTCAAGATACTCGTAAGCATCGAGCCTAAGGAAACAAATTCATCGTGGGAATTCATATCATTGTACAGAGTGACGTCTTCCGAACCAATGTCTAGTGCTAACTGCAACCCAAGTGGTGATTGTTTAAAAGAAAAAAGCCCTAGTTATTCCGATAGTTATTCCGACGTAAACGCCTTTCTCCATCCCCGTCCCCCCCTGATAGCTCATATTAGGTTCATCCAAATACCCATTTATGCAGAAGCCTCCGTAGCGGCCTCCGCAGTCTTCGCACCCGTGGTCGATGTCTCGACGGTTTCCGCGTCGTCCTCGACGTCCTCGTACTCGTCACTTGACGATTTCGCTCGTGCGTGGTTCTTCATAAGAATCTGGCCAGTACCTTTTCGCCCGAAGAAATCCTCTGTACGAATTCCTCGTACTTTAGTTGGGTCGATGGTAGACATAGAGCTTCCGCTTGCTCGGTGCTGGCGAATATATTCCCGTACCGGGGCCATAGCCGCATCGCGGCAAGCTTCCTTAATGTCGCTACCAGACATGCCGGCCGTTACTCTCGCTACGTACTCGATGTTGAAGTTGTCAGGATCGGTCTTGGTATCTTTGAGAACAAGCTGAAGGATCCGTAACCGTTGGTTTTTATCCGGTAAAGACACAGGGAACTTCTTGGGCATTCTGCGGAGGATAGCCTCATCGATGTCATGGATACGATTAGTAGCGCCAAGCACGACAATTCTTGCAGGGAGCCCTTGTGTATTTGCAGAAGTTAAGCCATCCCATAACGTCATGAACCTAGTATTTATCGTTAGTTCCTGATACGACTATGCACGGAGCATCCTTACTCTGCTTTGACCATGCCGCTAGCTTCATGTTCACCGCTTCTCCTGGTCCCCAGCACTGCGTCTATCTCGTCGATAAATATGATAGCAGGCTGTAGTTTACGAGCAAGAGAGAAGACTGCTCGTACGAGCTTATTTGAATCTCCGTACCACTTTTCGGTCAGGGTTGAAATATGAAGGTTGATGAAGGACGCGCCACTTTCGTGTGCAACGGCCTTTGCCAACATGGTCTTTCCGCAACCCGGAGGGCCGTAGAGTAATACACCAGACGGCGCGGATAATAAGGGCGCTGCGTGGGAGTAGAGATGCGGCATCGTTAACGGGTATATGACGGATTCCTTAACCTCCTCGATGATGTCCTCTAATCCACCGATGTCTGCCGTGCATATTAGAATCATAAGTCCAAGCAGATAAGGCAAAGTGTGCTAACCATCGAACCCGACGGGTATGTCTTCCGGCGGGACGACCTCTAACGCAACAAGGTTCTCATATTCATTAAGGACTAGATCCTCTATCCGAGGACCCCGTTTCGTGTCGTTGTTTGAGTCTTCTTCTTCTTCTATGCCCTCCTCTTCATACCCTCTTGACTTTTGTAGCCTCTGAAGGTTCGCTTTCGCTTTGAGTCGGGCCTGCTCACGCTTCTCCTTGTCTGGGTCGGCGAGGGTTCCTTGGAGAGTCGATATGACATTTCTAGTAAGAAACCAGGCGGCTCCAGCCTAGCCGACGGTGTTAGTGGTGCCAATCCGGCCGTGTATAAACTCCAATGAAGCGACTTTGACTTACTGTGCCTAGAATCAATAGTAAGTCCCAGAAATAATCAGATCCATTTCGTCTTCGGTCAACCATGGCGAAGGACTGCTTGATCCCGCTTGAAATCATTGGATATACCTCCCAGTTGGCTGGGAGAAATTAAGACGGTCGAAATACAGTCCGTGTGGATTTAAGGTTAAGACACGCCACAAAATGTAGACAAGCGGGCATACTACGTATGGAACAGTCCGACTCAGAATTAAAATGTTGGAACATGTAGGTACTACAATCAGGTAACTTGGGCTTACACAGTACCTACCTACCTGTAGGTACCTAAAGTATCACCGCCACGCCACATGCGGGAACGTGGCTGCCCTATGTACACCTTGGCATCTTATCGATTATGTTCCAATTGTTTGGCTTTTCTTCCTGCACAGGTATTGTGGAGACGTTGCATTGGCACATGCTGCACATGCTATGTACCCGGGTACTTCAATTGATCTGGTCTCCCTGCGGATTTTTTGTTTACTGGGACCCTCCAATCTAAAATATGATTGGCGGCGACAAACACATCCCACCCTCATCGCACCCTAGGATGCATACACTATCTCCCACGGTCTTTTGTCGCGTGATTGACATAACTAGCTAAACTACTGTACAAAGCTGGAGTTAGAAAAATCCAAAATTCATACAATCGCATTATAACATTATTCGGCTTAAATATAATTGGGTCTAGCCAGACTTCTACACGACCTTATCAAACCCTCAAGACGCGCCGCCAATTCGTTGTCGCGTTCAATGTCAAAGGCGAAGGCTGCAGCATTACTTAGGCTAGTGGGTTCAGACGACGAGGAAGAGGATATCTTAGCCGAAGACGCAGCAACTACTACTACTACAACTACTACAAGCATGGCCCCCGGAAGGAAAACCCGTGCGACGGCTGCTGCTGTTAAAGGTGCCACTACAACGAAACCCCCAGTGCGAAAAGTTTTATCTGATAAATCAGCGAATGTACAAGAAAAAGCCGCACGAGGAAAAGGAAACAAACGACCTGCCGCAGAGGAGATTACACCGGCAATAGAGGATGAGCTGGAAGAGGGGTCGATAGCTAGCGACGCGAAGCCCAAAGGTTCGAGGGGTCGACCACGAGCCGCGAAGGCACCGAAGATATCTAAAGATGACGAAATATCAACTACCGATCAATCAGAACCCACGGTTCGACCAGCAGGTAGAAGGGGACGTAAACCGAAGGCGAATACCGACACACTACCTGCAGAACCCGAAATCCCTGAAACTCAACCAGCCGAGGACGAGGTTCCGGAGACGCAAGCAGCCGATATGACAGGATTTAGCACAGAAGAGTATGACCAGATGGAGGATTTGCCTCCTCACAATCGCCACGGGTTATCCTCTGTCCAACGTATCCAATCGCATAATGTTTTCGGTATAAATCAAAGAACAGTACCAGCATCAGATTCCGAGCTTCACGAGCCATCGATGAGACGACGAGTAGGGGACCTAAGTCGGAAGTATGAGAACTTAGAGGCAAAATATCGAGACCTACGAGAGATTGGGATTAAGGAAGCAGAGCGCAATTATGACCGACTTAAGAAACAATCGGAGGAGAGAGCCAATAGTAAGTATCAAACGAGAGGATTTTAACGCGTTATGGAGACGGCTAACCATTTCTAGCTGCAAACCAGCTCATCGAGACTTTGAAGGCGCAGCTGTCTGCCCAAACCGAGCTTGCCAAAGAAGCACAACGTTTGAGACAACAGCTAGAGGCTAGTCAAACTAAAGCAGACCAACTTCAAAACAAGGTCGATGATACCAATGCCTCGTTGATGGAGGCGAAGACGGAGGTTAAGACACTCACCACGAAGCTAGCTGCTGCCCGATCAGCCGAAATGACGGCCAAGATTCCGAGCAGTGCTATTAAAGGGTCAAGTGCGAACAACCGACTTCTCGCCAATGCCGAAGCCGCGGCTCAGGTGGCGCAAATGAAAGAAGATCTATACGGAGACTTGACCGGCTTGATGGTCCGTGGTGTCAAGCGGGAGCAAGGCGGAGAAACTTACGACTGTATCCAGACAGGTAGAAACGGAAGTAAGTTTATTTGCAATTCTATTATCTCCTCCTTTGTCAACTATTCGGGCCTCGAAGCATAGACTAACCTATTTTTCTAGCTCTCCATTTCAAACTGGTCGTAGGTGGTGAGGAGCTCACAGAGAAACTTGATGAGCCTCAATTCATATACATGCCTCAGTTAAACTCAAGTCGCGATCAGGATTTGATCGATATACTACCTGATTATCTCGTCGAGGAGATTACTTTCCCTCAATCACACGCTGCGCGGTTTTACGCGAGAGTCATGAAAGCACTCACGGAGCGTCCGGAGTATGACTGAAGAGAGGGCTGTAGGCTTTTTTATTTATTTGTTAATAAGTTTTTCGGACGGGTGGGGAATGAATTATTGTAGATATCCAGATACCAGAATATAATTCTTTGTTGTTTACGGATTAGTACCCCCTATTATTCAGTTAAGGGGTTAGTTGAAGGTCGAGTTGACTCGCCCCCTCCCCACCCCCTAACATATGTACTACCTAGGTAGGTACCTACGTAATCAGCCCTGTCTATGCACCCGCAGACCCGCACCCGTACCTTAAATACTTAAGAATCCCTGCAAACGCAGACGCGATTTCCCAAGACGACACCTTGACGGCCGTCACGAAAGCATGTTGCAACCTGTCAATCTCAACTTGCGACTCGGATCTTCCCCTACGTACTCTACGTCGGAAAGCATCTTCGAGTCCCGTCTTAGATAGAGCTGAGGATCATATACAAAGACATAACGCATTAATTCATCCGTATCTTTCTCCTATTTCCTATGGATCCTCATCGGGCTGACCAACACATCTCATCTAAAAACCCGAAATTTTGGTGAGGCGCTTCTTCACTTGACCACAGCTTTTCCCGCTTCAGGACACCACTTGTCCTTTACAATCCACCGCGATGGCGGGTACCAGTCGCTTTAAATTCCTGGCTATAGCCATGGTATTCCACCTAATTTACATATACTCTATTTTCGATGTCTACTTCGTCAGTCCCATCGTTAGTGGAATGCAGTTGTTCCGCGTAGAGAGACCTGCCGGAGTTAAGGCGCCGGCAGATCGACTCGTCCTCTTTGTTGGTGTGTACCGTTCCTATACAGGGTATCAGGGTTAAAATTGCCGTCGCTAACGGATATATCAACTAGGCGATGGATTGCGCGCAGACAAGGCTTTCCAGTCACACCCCGAACCGTTCCCCGAAACCGAAGCCGATGAGGTCCCGAGACCGCTCGCGCCTTACCTGCGTTCCCGTGTGCTAGAACATGGCACATTTGGTGTTTCTCACACGAGAGTACCTACAGAATCTCGACCCGGACATGTCGCTCTGATCGCAGGACTTTACGAGGATGTTTCTGCTGTCGCTACCGGCTGGAAATTAAACCCGGTCAACTTCGATAGCGTCTTTAATAGAAGCGCTCACACATGGAGTTGGGGTAGCCCCGATATTCTGCCCATGTTCCAACATGGCGCAACTCCTGGCAGGATAGATGCGGACTGCTACGACGCGGAGTTCGAGGACTTCTCTAAAGAGGCGCTTGAGCTAGATTTTTACGTGTTCGATCACGTCAAGGAGGTTTTTGCTGCCGCGCAAAAGAACAAGACCTTAAATGACGCTCTAAGACAAGAGAAAGTTGTCTTCTTCTTGCATCTCCTGGGATTAGATACTAATGGTCATTCGTATCGACCATACTCAAAGGAATACCTTAGAAATATTAAAGTCGTTGACCAAGGCGTCAAGGAAATAACGGAGCTAATTCAAAAGTTTTACAACGATGATAGGACAGCTTTCGTGTTTACGGCTGATCATGGCATGAGCGATTGGGGAAGCCATGGAGACGGCCATCCAGATAACACCAGGACCCCGCTCATCGCATGGGGATCAGGTATAGCCAAGCCGTATGTGTATTCGGGGACTATCGCCCCCGGTCATGATGAATACTCATCGGATTGGAACCTGGACCAAATCAAGAGGAATGACGTACAGCAAGCGGATGTTGCTGCTCTAATGGCCTACTTGATCGGGGTCGAGTTTCCGGCTAACTCTGTAGGAGAACTCCCGCTGTCATATCTCTCTGCCAATATTAAAGAAAAGGCCGAAGCGTCTTTAGTGAACGCTCAGGAAATTCTAGAAATGTACAAAGTGAAAGAGAACAGCAAGAAGACAACAGAAATAAGATACCGATCTTATAAACCCTTAAGCGAGGAGAGCGGCTCATCCCCCGAGAGTCGAGTGTCATCTATCAGAAAGTTGATCGATAATGGAAACTTCGAAGAAGCTATCGAGGAGTCTGCCGCGCTGATGAAAATTGGACTCGAAGGAATGCGCTATTTACAGACTTACGACTGGCTATTCTTGAGAGCTCTCATTACCATTGGTTATCTAGGATGGATGGCGTACGCCTTGACAACCGTTTTGAACCAACATGTATTGCAAGGTAGCACTCAGCCCTCGAGAAACCTTGGTGGCACCATTGTCTTCTCCTCCATCCTTGTTACACTTTATGCGTCCTTCATCGTGTCGCACTCGCCTATTACCTACTACGCATACGCCTTCTTCCCTGTATTCTTCTGGGAAGAAGTTTACGCTCGTAGGGACAGTTTGATTAAGGGAAGACAGGCCTTATTTGGGCACATCAAAACCGGGCCCAATGTCTTATCCCTTACGTTCAACGTTGTCGTATATATTGGCATCATCGTGTCGCTGGTAAATACTCCTTTCCGATTTCCTAGGAGGCTTCCGAGGATGACTAACATATATAGGCATTTGGATATATCCATCGCGAAATTTTTACAATACTTTATATCGTGGGAGCATTATATCCTTTGACTACGGGAATATCTTTCCTCCAGAAGCATTCAGTTCTCTCTGCGACTTGGTTTATATCATGTCTGGTAATGAGTGTTTTTACTTTGCTACCAGCAATGAAAATTGAAAGCATACCCCTTACGTAGGTTGATCCGGTTGGTTACCCTTTAAATCTACCAAACTAACAAGCAATAGCATGGTTGGCGGTGCACTCATGGTTGTTGTCGGCATCTTGTACCTGATTTTCGAAGATAAGTTCCTGGCCGATTCTTCAAGTTCAAAGAAAAGCAGCACATTGCAGAAGGGTAATGAAATTTCCCGAAATTTAATCGGGATTCAGGTGAGTCTTCCACTTCGCTTGACTAATGTGCCATATTAACTGTAGTAGGTTGGGCTTATCATACTGGCTATGCTTGTAACTCGGAGCAGTGCTCTATCACTTCAAGCAAAACAGGGCTTGCCACGCGGGAACCAGGCTGTAGGGTGGTTGGTGTTGGTCATATCGTTTTTGATGCCTGTCGCTCATCGACTTCAACCCAATCACCATTACCTTCATAGGCTACTAGTTATTTTCCTTACGTGCGCACCAACCTTCGTCATTCTTACTATCTCCTACGAGGGTCTATTTTACTTCGCATTCAGCCTGTTACTAGTTACCTGGGTACGATTAGAACACCACGCCTACGAATTCCTCAAGTCGACTAGAAAGGCGTCAACAGAAGACAAAGATAACAATAAGACGTCGGCAGAGGCGGTAGTGTCCAAATTTCGGCCGCTAGTTCTATCGGATGCTCGTGTGGCCTTATTCTTCTTCATTCTACTTCAATCGGCCTTCTTCAGCACGGGCAATATCGCGTCTATTTCTTCATTCAGTTTAGACAGCGTAAACCGACTGCTCCCAGTATTTGACCCCTTTTCCCAGGGAGCACTTCTAATTCTCAAGCTTATGATCCCATTTGCGCTGATATCAGCGAACCTGGGTATTCTCAATAAGAGAATTGGAGTAGCGCCATCGGCGCTCTTCATGGTCGCAATGGCCCTGAGTGACATACTAACACTCTACTTCTTCTGGGTAGTAAAGGATGAGGGCTCGTGGCTTGAGATAGGGTCAACAATTAGTCACTTTGCCATAGCTAGCCTTCTCTGCGTCTTCGTGGCCGCTCTAGAAGGGGTGAGCGCATTATTTATTGCGGGCATCGAGGTAAACAACTCGCACGAGGCAGCCGCTGTAAGCAACGGAAAGGCATTGGAAGCGCCAATAGAGACGACCAACGGGGAAACTAAGGAGCCAGAAATAACGGCTTCAGATGAGACATAAATGTGTTTATACACGAGGCAAATCGCTACTATAAGCTTATATAAAGAGCATAATACAATCTGTACATACTATACATGCATGTTTATTGTAGTACAATTACGTGAATGAAATTTCCATGCAGTCCTCATGTCGTGACAGCGAATCTCGATACGAGACCCCCTAATTCGCTTCCAGACCGAATGTTTAGTAGATATACTGCTGATCTCGCCTAGCTGAACGTGAAATGTCCACTCAAACTCGCCAAAAGTTGCATATGTACGACGCAATATGTGAAAAGAAAAAACCAGGCTTGCCGTTTACTGTCCACAGCCTATGTATGTATGTATGTTGACGATCTCTCTACATTTGGTAAATGCCTCGGCTGTCCCGACGTGTTAGCAGCAGCGTGTCAACAAGTTAAGACCGCGAGACCGCGAGACAACTCTCCACATTTTTCCTCAGGTTTGAATGCCAAGCAATTCTACTGCTACCTAGTCGAATATGACGGGTATCTGCCGTAATTCGTGCTGAAGAAGAATACATAGGGTCGGCGCTATCTTTAAGCGTATCCTGTCGTTGGTCTAGGCTTGTGTCTTACAACGTAAGGCTACATCTCAGCTACTAATACATCCCACTTGTTGTAACATAGGTAATAATCAGCAACGACAAGCCTAAAGTGCACTTTGTATAGGTATTTTTCCGGCATTATTTCTTTCGCATATGTACATAGCATATGAAACGCCTCAGATCTTTGAGCTTCGTTACGGAGGTCGAGGCTAAAACCAGCTTGTCACCCGATAGGCTTGTAAGGGTCGTAAGGGTAGCAGGGGTAAGAATAGACTAAAAGAAAACGGACTCGCCGCCGAGTCAAGTCAACTTCTTACTCTTCTTCACATGTCAGTAACATATATAGGTAGACATATATAATACCATACAATACCCATGCATGTATATATACTGGTAGTATAGTTATTGTATATTCATCGAATGATCGGTATCTGGATACGGAGCAAACAGTACCCGATGGAGTCAAGCGACTCCATTATTCTAAGCATGTTAACATACACGTAAGAGTGCGTTAGGTGCGTTTTCAACTTCTAACGGAGAAGATCTCTAACCTTAGGTACCTATTTATGTATCATAGGTATGAAGACCGGGCTATAAAAGATGATGGCATAGATTTCACATGCTTAAGCAGTTGCTTAAGGGTGAATTCTTTTAAAGCCCCACCACGTGCGACTAAGTTAGGTATTGTAATTCTATATGCATTTTTATACGATTAAGGCTGCAATATTATATTATTACATCAAACAGGTATTTTCTCACCCGTTAACAAGCAATATGTGCGTTAGGTACCTGTTACTTAGGAAATATAGGAGGTAGTAGACTAGAACAGTCGAATAGTCCCGAAGATGATCTGGTTAGGTATTCCATGCATGCCCCCGTAACACGAAAGGCAAACCACATGTGCGCTAATGTTTAATATCCGTACATATGTACTGTACACCAACAATTACTATGCCAGGTACATAGGAATAACCAAAATGGATCAGGTACAAGACAGGTAGACGGACATTTCTCCATACCGGCAGCTACGGGACATTTTGTAGTAGACAACCTGACAACTAGAGAATAGGGCATTACATAGTAGAAGGTGGGAAGCTTCGGCGAGTTAGAAAGTTCAGTTCAGTTCAGTTCAGTTCAGTTCAGTTCAGTTCAGTTCAGTTCAGTTCAGTTGTTATAGACACCGAAGACATCAGAAAACAGAAAACAGAAAACCTCCTGAGTCTCCCCAAATCTCCTGGAGTAAGCGCGGGACGTCAAATTCGAAATCCGCTCCCGCGCTCCCCTTGTCGCATTGAACTCCTAACCCGCTCTCATATTCGCATCGCCTCCATTTGTGGTCCCCAAAGCTCTTTATTCAACTTTTAATAATTTTATCTTCCGCACCTTCACGTCCACGATTCACTAGCAGCAAACAGTTCCGATTGCCTTTCACTTAACCTACCTACCTACCTACCTACCCAAGGTAGTGTTCCTACCGGTCTGCCTATCCTATCCTATCCATATGCTGCCTCACCGGACGATGAGCCACCGTGAAGTTTAACCCCAAAACCCGAGTCCATCGACGGCGTCCCTTCCGCTTTGACGACGAGATACTTCCTCTTCACATATATTCCCTCTCTTCGACTGTAACAGATACGTATATAATTAATAGGACGCGAATCGAACCTGGATGGACGCCGATATGAATTCTGACGGTGGTGATCTGGCAAGGCAGCAGCAGCAGCAGCAGCAGCAGCAGCAGCACCAACCGCCGCCGCCGCCGCCGCTATCCGACTCGGGGTCGCTACCTACACCTCCTTCTAATAACTACAACACGCCACCGGGGTCGACGACGAGTACGCAGAATGCACAAAGCGCAATGAGTTTCCGAAGGTTTGTAGAGAATCTAGTGCGGTAGCATATTTCTATATATGCGCCATGAGTTTGCGACGAAAAGGCTGACCAAGAGTGAACTTCAATTAGACAACGTGCTTCGAGGGCATGTGAGGTGCGTATTCTAGTTCCTTTTTTTAACCTTTTTTTCTTCTTCGTGTTGTAGAGATTATCTGGCGCCCTTTTATCAGTTTCAAGCTCGAGCTACCTATCTGGGGCTCGAGGTGGGATTATTCTAAAAGAGCCGAGGCATCTCGAGAATGCGATCCATATTCCGTCTAGTTACCCTGCATCTCCAAACTGACCACTCGGATACCAACAGACTTGTCATGCTAGAAAGGTACGAAATAACGCCGTATTTTGATTCGCCGAATATAAGAAAAAAAGAAAAAAAATGGCTATATCGAAAACGTTCATAGAAGGAATATGATATTTACATAAATTATTAGGTGCGATGCGATGCGGCGAGCCTTGGCGTCCCCTGTACCAATTGTGTCGCCTTCCAAATCGAATGCAAAATCCCACAACCTAAGAGGAAGAAGACCCAGGCGAACGCGGCAAAAGACTCGGACAGGTGCGTGTACAGTCTTGGCGGTTACCCGTGGTGTAGTTGAATATCAAGAGATTGATTAGATCCTTTATAGCGACCGTGGGGACGTCATCGAAGAGGCCTCTCCGAAACCACCCAATGCCGGCTCCTCTAATACCTTCCCGGCGCGACCGGCTGTATTACACTCCTCCGAGGGTGTTCCAACTTCGACCGCCATAGAAGCCCAAGCTAGGAAAGAAGAAGTTGCCCATGACACATACCTCAACTTGGTCATGAAGCCCAAGTTTACCAGAGCCCCCATCACTGAGGCTGGCAGGGTAGCTTTCTTAGGAGAATCGTCGAATCTGACGCTGTTGGTTCACGATCGCCAGGGAGATTCAGATGTTGTGCATTACCCGCTTCCCGAGAATGTGCGCGGATCCAGGGCCCGCTTGACTGAGCTGGATAACATCGAGGTCGATATTCTTCATCGACGTGGGGCTTTCTTACTTCCGCCTAGGTCCCTCTGCGACGAGCTCATCGATTCTTACTTCAAATGGATACACCCTATCGTACCCGTTATAAATAAGACTCGATTTATGAGGCAGTATCGAGATCCTAAAAACCCACCCTCGTTACTCCTTCTGCAAGCCATTCTACTTGCTGGCTCTCGAGTATGCCACAACCCGCAACTCATGGATGCGAATGGGTCCACCACGCCGGCCGCCCTGACGTTTTACAAGAGAGCAAAAGCCCTTTACGATGCTAATTATGAGGATGACCGCGTGACGATAGTCCAAGCTTTGCTCCTGATGGGTTGGTATTGGGAAGGTCCGGAAGACGTCACTAAGAATGTCTTTTATTGGAGTAGAGTTGCTATCATTGTAGCTCAAGGGTCCGGAATGCACAGGTCCGTAGAGGCATCGCAACTGACCAAGGCTGACAAGAGATTATGGAAACGTATCTGGTGGACACTTTTCACACGCGACCGATCTGTAGCGGTTGCGCTGGGACGACCATGCAATATCAATCTAGACGATTCAGATGTTGAAATGTTGACCGAAGACGATTTCATTGAAGATGAGCCGGACAACGCGAGCGGAGTCGCCCCTGATCCTATACATGTTCAATTCTTCCTACAGTACGTCAAGCTTTGCGAGATCATGGGCTTGGTCCTATCCCAGCAGTATTCTGTAGCATCCAAGGGCCGACGCCAGAATGCTATCGATCTCACTCACAGCGATATGGCTTTGGCCGATTGGCTACAGAACTGTCCCAAATCGGTATATTGGGAGATGCCGCGACATCATTTCTGGAGCGCATTGCTTCATTCTACCTATTACACTACCCTTTGTCTACTACATCGGGCGCACATGCCTCCTAATAGTAGTAACGCCGCCAGGTTTCCGGACGACTCTTCCTACCCTTCGCGCAATATTGCCTTCCAGGCTGCAGGGATGATCACGTCCATCATTGAGAACCTATCGGCGCATGATGAACTTCGCTACTGCCCTGCGTTCATCGTCTATAGCTTATTCTCTGCTCTCATCATGCACGTATATCAGATGCGGTCGCCTGTCTTCTCCATCCAGCAAGTTACACAGATTCGGATTCGGACCTGTATGGAAGCTCTTAAGGAGGTTTCTAAGGTATGGCTAGTAGGCAAGATGGTCCACACCCTGTTCGAATCAATTTTGGGCAATAGAAATATGGAAGAGAGGTTACAAAAAGCTGCTGGCAAGCATCATAGGAAAGTTCAACAAAGCTTAGCTCAGCTGGAGCAGCACCAGCAAAGACAGCAAGAAGCTACTAAACGGAAATACGATGAGATGGCTATTGACTTCAGTATAAATACACCAGTGCATCAGGAATCGTACGAGCGGTCGCGTCCTCAAACCCCCAGGAACGAACCTATCCAAAACCAATCACCACACATGGGCCCGCCCATCAACTCACCGAATACTAGGTCTGGAGACGCTTTCATGGGCACTAACAGCAGACCACATACCCGACCGGCAACCCCGTTCAACCCGTCCTTCTCCCTCCCAACTACGCCTCCGGACCTCTATCTCGTGACTCGTAATTCACCAACCCTTTCACAATCCCTATGGGAGAATTTCCAACCGGA